AGCCATACTTCAAATTCGTAATATCGCTAATTCTTTGAAATTAATGCCATAAATGATATGGCGAATGTCGCCCACTTATTACTTGCAAAAGCTCAGCACTGTTTGCAGCCATACCTCAAATTCTTAATACAGCTAAGGGATGAAACACAGAGACTGCATCGTGAAATGTCTTCTTACACATGACACATAATTCCAATCTTACTTCACTATTTGCGCAAATAGTCTGGGCCTGAACTGGGCCCGAATATTTCACAGGCTGGTTGTTCACTTCTAACTGATTGGCCCGATTAACTTTGGCGAGATGTCGCAGGCCTGCCCAAATGAAGTAGAGTACTAAAGTCTCTTCCACCAGATCTATTGCATCTCGAGCCTAGACTGTGTACATGTCCCACCAGGATGGCCTGATTGTTTATACTAGGCATTTGCATATTTCCAGGTAAAACATACTGCATTTTTGCAACTTGGTCCATTCATTGCAACGTTCGCAAATAAAACGGAAGCCGAACTGGAGATACGAAATGGCCGACTGGTGGCCGCAAATTGTTAGCGATTTTTGTCTTCACTGAATTATTGATGAATGCTGTTACTTCTGTTAACGAGTGGGGGATTATTGCCCATCTATGGCATTTTCTTAATTAGCTATGTTTTCACACTCGAAACGGCCACACTGCATTGAAAACAGGAATAGGCAGAAAGATTTTTCAGCAGATATAGCCGAAAATGGAGAAAAATCGGGATATGAGGACGAAAAAAGCATGGAGGATGATGAGAGCAACGACTTCTACAGCCAGTTGCCACCGAGTGTTGTAATTCCCGGTACGGATACAATCGATGATGAACCAGCAAACCAGTCATCCTCCGAACTGCAAAAACTGGAAAGGTCCGTGCATGTGCATATTCGACATTTTTATTGTTGCGCATACAAAACTGCAGTTACTGTGTACAATCCTTCGTGCAGCGCTTTTTTTCTGTAATTTCAGATCTTGAACTTTTGAATTTTTTTTTCCAATATCGATCTTAGCCTTGAAACTTCGGGAGCTTTTGGCTGGGCTTTTTCATTTGTCATCAAGAGGCTTTTTCACTGCTGCCTCGTAAACTGAGGGGCAGAGAGGTAGCACATTTCTCTAGATTCTTTTAATTTTAGTTTTGCCTGGAACGAATTAAATACTATTCTGGACACATGGGCACTCAACGATTACGCCATGCCGGAGAGTACGCACTGCCTCGATCAGTGAGTTCTTTTTCCTCATTCCCTTTTTATGTATCAAGAATACTAAGGCTGCTGGAACTGCTAGAGTTGGTGTCCCCCGTTAGTGATTTTTCTTTCTGTATATTTTTTCCACAAAATATTACTTCCACTACACATTTATGCTTTTTAATGTTAAAAAAATGCTACAAATTGATGACTACTTTTTTGAACGGTTTCTTTAGACTATAGAATTTTTTGAATCAACGATGAGGTAGATGAGGGAAAGAAGAGTAAGAAGTAATAGTTAGACAAGCACATGCTCATCCTTCACGACCAAAGAAACAAACTTGAACCGGGGTGTGGTGGGCTGTTATATCGGTTGTGAACTTTGCACGTTCCTAGTTATTTTCTGAATTGCAAAAATATTTAGATAACTGAAAATTTTGTACATATTGTATCGATTTGTGCACCCATCCTGTGCAAACAAGGAATGTCTTTTGAAATTTTAAGTCTGCGAAGCATGATGCACTTGCCGAAACGACCCTGTAATTGTCGCGTTGCGAAGTAAATGCAGAATCGTTTTTTTATAGCAATTGTCGTTTACTGGATACTCAACATTTTTCAGAACTGATTCGGATGACATAGCAGATAGTATGGAAAAATGTGAAGTCAAGGAACAGAATTCAATGGAAGTGGACAATGACGATGTTGAGATTTCTTTTGAGGTATCTTTTGAGATAACCCCTCACAGTCTAACTTCACTGAATACGGAAATACGAAATTCTGAAGCTTTTAAAAGCATTTTGAAGAGCATAGCAATTTTAACGTTGTTTCGACCATTGAGATACTTGCTCGGGACACTCGGATCAAGTATAATTTGATTATTTCTTCCTCTGTCTTGCGTCTGATTCAGTTGTTCTGACCAGTGCTACACCACCTGGTGGTCAGTTTGCTGGCAATACTGACGTTTGTTTCGTCTCCTAAAGCGATTGCGAACTGACCGATTTTCCGAGCAAAAGCGCTTGACAAGGCTTTGGTTGGCCCGGGATGTGCTCAGCATGTGTTGAGTAACTTCATTTCGTTTTGACCTTGTACCAGAATAAGTTAGGCAAATTATCGAGTGGAAGTGCAGAAGTAATTTCAATAAAACTTTGAATTTTTGACCTTTTATTCATGTCATTTTGGAGTCGTTTGCTAAGAAAATTGATTTCAGGGACCATCACATATGGAGGAAGACGATGATACCGATGCTTTTGGCGAGATCACTTTCTGGTCGCCGGGCTATGTCGATGTCGACTTGAGCTCCTACGGCAAGAGTGCTACGCCAAGAAAAAGCGAAAACGACGAGCTAGCAAAGGCGGAGTTTATGCATCGAAGGACGGGAACATTTTTCGAAACATCGCATTGCGTGAGCGTTTGTGTTTTCGACAATGTAGGATAAAAATCCATGTACATAAGATTGATACCAATCAATCGGACGGATCGGGAATGCTGGTAAACTTAAAAGCTCTTCCTGGTGCAAATTCATTTTACAGGGCCGGGTTTTTAACTTTTATCACTACACAAAAGGGCGGGGAAATGTCTGGATCTGACCAAAGAGCAAAAAATTGTCACCAACCAAAATTTTATCAATTGGGTTCAAGAATTGACCAAGATGTCCATAAAATCGATAGAAACTGTGCGCTA